TCACTTCCATCTTGCCTTTTAGTTTGGCCAGTAGTTCTCAACTCATCCATGCCGGTCTCCTGCCTTCCTTGCCCCATTTCCTATACTTGGATATTGAGAGCTCCTGTGCTCTGTGGAAAGCCTCCTCAAAGATCTGCCAGCTCTGTTCCGCTTCTTTGTCCTTGAGGGCCATTTCCAAAGGGATCCTACTAACTCCTTGAAGAGCTGGAAGTTGGCTTTCCTGAAATTCAGGGTCCTGACTATGCTTCTCATATGACTCATGCACCTTAGGATGGTGATCTGCACAAGCACATGATTGCTACAGCCCAGTCTGCCTCCAATCATGACATCCCTGATTAGCTCACTCACATTGGTGACCATCAGGTCCAAAATCACTTCCCCTTGTGAGTAGGACTGTCTATTTCCTGTCTTAGAAAGTTGTCATCAAGGCACTCTATGAGTCTCTTGGATTGTCTACAGCCTGCCGGGCTACTTTTCCAACAAAAGTCATGGTGTTTGAAATCCCCCAGCAAGATGAGAACCTGTGAGCTCAATGCCCCCTGGAGCTGGAGAAAGAAGGCTTCATCAATAGGCTGCCCTTGGTTGGATGGCTTGTAGTAGACATCAGCCACAAGGTTCCCTTTGTTGTCACAATCCCTAATTCCTACCCATAAGCTTTCAACCTGCTCATGGCTATTCTTTAGGGACAACTCTTCACACTCTATCAATTTCTTCACATAGAGGGCAACACTTGCATCCCTCCTTCCTCTCCCATCCCTTCTGAACAGCTTGTAGCGATTGATAGCCACGTTCCAGTCATGGGATTCATCCCATCAAGTTTCAGTAATGGCCACTATGTCATAGCTTTCCTGTAGTACAACAGCTTCCATCTCCTCCTTCTTGTAGCCCATGCTGCATGCATTGGTGTAGAGGCATTTCAGCTTTGCTGTCAGCTGTGTCACCTTCTTAGATGAAGCCTTCCTTCCCCCAAGGTGTTTTGTGTTAGCTCCTATCACCTCAGGAGCCTCTAGTTTGTTTCTGTAAAACTCTGCCTGTCTTGCAGCACCCACTGCATGCCTCAGGGCAACAGGCTGAAGGCCCTTACTATCACTCCATCCCTCCAACTCTGGTGTTGGGGACAATCCTGCTGCTTGTCACAGCCAATCTTGATATCATTATCCCCATCCCCCTTCATATCTAAATTCATCAAATCCAAAAATCACAAAATCAAATCCATCAGTAAGATGCTTTCTGTATTGGCAAGATCATCCTTGGTCTAAATGCTGGTGGGACACCTTGTTAAAACAATATCCAAAAGCAATTCAGAGTTGGGGTTATATGATTACAATATGAATGCTTCTGAAAAATCATAATTCATAAAGTCTTTTTATTCTCTTTAATTCACAAGAGCACCAGCTACAAACCTTCCATGTACCCAAATGTAGGTACTCACCTGAGATATACAAAATCTCCTCCTGGTGTCCTACATTTTTGTTCCCAGCAGTTAGGACTCAAGTATTTTACTTACTGAGAAAGGAAGATATAAATCTCTGTAGATACTTAGAAGCTGGAGTAATCTCACCCAGATTTAGCCTCTTGAACATTTGACTACTGTAACAAGATACCTGGAAATCTACACTCAATTAGCTACTCAGCGTAGTTCTCACAGTGGACAGAGAAAGACACTTTTGAGAATTTCCACAGCCTCTTCAGGTGACAACTGTGGTATTGGAAGACTCACACTGCCCATTATCTCTTCACTTTCCAAATGGAGTTCATACTTAACTGCCTGAGGATAGGTACAAATCAACATATGAATTAAGTATGGAAAGGCATTCTGTTACCAGGAATAGAGATTTGTCTTCTCGTGTGTCTTGTCCTCTAAGCTAAGGCCTCTAGATGACACTCACACAGAGAGGTGGTGGTAGTGATGAAGCTGAAACTATCTGGTTGAACACAAGTGTTTTATTTCTATTGTGGAACTGACAGAGTGGCTGCTTGGTAGGAAACTGAGGCTACCCCATGTGAACGTCAACAGAAAGATTTTATATTTTTGAGATAGATTTATTCCATCTTATGTTAGGAACCAAAACGGATGACACTCACTCTCTGCAGTTCAGCTAGGGTCATCTCTGCACTTGCACAGGCCAGTCACCGAGACAGAAATTGGCATTTCAGATTGTTTTTACTGCACTGCCATCTAGCGGTGTTTGTAGAGTGCAACTTTCTCTTCTACTTTTTTGGGACACCACTTTTTTCATGTGGTCTTTGAATTGCCCCATGTTTTTAAGAGGTTTTTTTTTCTTTTTGAGTCTCACCAAGTTGCCAAGAGATATTTATTCATCAAGCTGTTTCTGCCTAGCCTGAGAGACTAAGCTATCTGAACCTTGACTAACAAACTACAGTCTCCCTGACCTCCTTAAATGCAAGCTAGGAAGCTGAGATTAAAAACCAGGACCTGGAACAATCATCTCACTTTTTTGTGGCACCACAGCTAGGAACACAGTCACCCTGCAGAAAAAGAAAACCGAGTAGCATCTCCAGAGTGTGACAGAAATACCCAACACTCCAGTAGCTGCCTGGCATTGAATCCAGGCCCTACTTAGTTTTAGACTTCACTGCCTCTGTAGAACATGCTGCTGACTTGATAGTAATCATCATCACCATAGTAATCTTTCACTCCATTGTCATCCTCTTAATCAATATAATTCCAACTAGGCCCAAGAGTAATCAAAGTGTAGGCTAAGAAAATGCTTATTCCAACCAGAGTGCACATGAAAACAGTGGTTAATTATGTGCATATGCGGTTGATGACAACAATCTCTACAAGATTTTTGCTTGCTTGATTATCCCCTGGGTGTTCTGCTGCTCTCAACTCTGAAAAGGCTTTTAAAAAGGGAGATGAAGGGAGAAACGCTCTCTACACAACAGAATGGAAAAGTTGGTAATTTTAGCTGGCTAAAAAAAAAGATATGGAAATTATTGGGGGTGGGGGCTTTGGCAAACAAGGAGCTCAAATTTTTAGTTATTTTTTTCATGAAAAATCGAGCTCTTAAAGAAAATAAAGATGGATACAAAACCTTGAGAAGGTGAAAAATTTTTTTAAGTGGGTTTCAATGTTCCTGTGGTTTCAGGTAAGAAACAGGGTTGGTCTGAAAGATTTGTTGATTGACAGAGACATGCGACACAGTTCCAGCATTTTCAGTTGTCAGATGTTGGCAAATTGACTGAAAAACGAGGGTTTCATCGAATAAGAGTTTAAAAGAAAATTTAAATTTAGATCTGTGGAAAGAAATGTGTAAGTCTTACAAAGCTATGCTATCATAAGTCATCCAGATAAGTTATTGGATGATTGTCCTTACGTGGCTTTCACTGCTATAGTGTCTGGTCACCTCCCTGTGGTGCCTAAAGGTGGTGAGAAAAATCAAAAAGGAGGTGCAGTATGCATGGCAGGAGCTGACTTCTGGGCTAATAACTAAATTCCTGCTATTGTCAGTGGAAAGAAATAAATAATTTCCTTGATGATTTAACACATACAAAGCAGATACATAAAACATATTGGATGGATTATGGTTCAAAGCACTTACTTCTCTCTGTAGACCATAACAGGAGTTTGAGGTGAGTGCCTTAAATGCAGAAGTTCCAAGTCAGGTGGTATTAATGCCACTGAAGGTGGTCCAAATAGATGATACTAAATTGGAGTGCTATATGTGGGAAGACAGTGGGCTGAAAAAAACCCCACCAAAGCTGTATTTGTAGTAGTGGATGTTTTTAAGGAACCCCAGGGCTGTAGGTTGTCCTTCCCAGCCTGTGAAAGGTCATGGTTGGAATTTGTGTTGCTGGGTGCATGGGCTTGAAAAATGCACCAATGCATTGCAAATACCTCTCCCAACTCCATCACATTTGGATAGAAACAGAGTTGACAAGAAAAACCAATACAGAAGAAAAAAGAAGTAGATTTTCTGTTCAGTTCCTTTGCTGGTATAGACTTAACCACTGTAATGTGTCTAGTTTTGGCCACTGAATATTTTTTTTAGTATTTCTGTACTAAACAAAATCCAGAAAAGATCGGCCAAAGTCTCAGGAGTTTTGGAAAATGGGATTTGTAAGTAAATCTAGAGAATGAGGTTATTCATTACACATGAGAGGAAAATAAAAAAGAACACTATGACAAGTAGGATTTATCTATACTGTATTTTTCTGATTAAGGGTCTGGCAACCAAACTCTCTTTGAGTTCTCCATGACAATAAATCGGTACTTTCACAAGATGATTCATCCTGCCTGCTTTATGGAGAATTAAACTCCTTAAATCTAGAATACTTCATTCTACCCCGTTGACAAGACTGAAGAGTGAGACAGCTGAAAGGTGCTTTTGTGTGTGTTTGGGGGTTTTTTGGCAGGGCAAACATATGCTAAGGATGGGATAGATGTTCTTCATACTTATTTTCATTAGTGGAAGTTAGATTATTTTTCAGCCTCCATCAAATAAGAAAAATGTCCATGTTAAAGGTCACACTTCTATATAGTGAATACATAATAAGCATCAATACATATTAACAGTGGAAATATGACTATTTTAATATTGAAGCGATCAGACAAAATACTTCTTTGTAACAATAGAAAGGAATGTGACAAAACATGTAATGCCATCTAAAGAAAAAGGTTGATTTTTAATTTGCTGGCCCACACTGGAAACATGTCAGAAAGTACCCTTTTGCCAGAGAAGCACAGGCATTACTTCAGTTTTAAGTGCTCTTTTCGGTACATAGAGTAACAAATAATGTGACTTTTAGTATGTCAGAGATCTTCACAGAAATCAGGTGACAGGTCTGCTAATGCAAATTCTTTTTTCCTCTTTTCTTCTCTGTTCTGTGAAGAAACTTTCATTATTTGAGGCTTAACTGTCGAGGACTTCATTGATGTTAACATTTCCTGTTTTATCACTAGAGCAAAAGTTATGACAAAGCAAGAGTGGAAAAACAAAGCAGTTGTTACAAAGTTCATCCTCCTTGGATTTGGGAATGACCATGAACTGGATTCTCTCCTCTTCCTGGTGTTTCTGGCAATTTACATTGTGACCATAACTGGAAACATCGTGATCATTGTGCTGATGGCAGCTAATAGGCACCTTCACACCCGAATGTACTTCTTTCTGGGCAATTTGGCCTGCTCGGAAATCTGCTACAGCTCGAATATCTTGACAAGGATGTTGCTTAGCTCTCTGGGTGGAGACAGAAGTATTTCAGTCAACGGATGTTTTACACAATGCTATTTCTTTGGTTGCTTGGCAGCTGCTGAGTGCTATCTCCTCGCAGTGATGTCCTATGACAGGTACCTAGCAGCGTACAAGCCCCTGCACTATCCATCCCATATGAACAGCAAGCTCTGCCTCCAGCTGGGTGTTGCATCTTGGATAAGTGGCTTTCTGTCCAATTCTATGCAAACATTCCTGATCTCAAAGTTAGATTTCTGTGGGCCTAATGAAATTGAACATTTTTTCTGTGACTCATTCCCAATGATAAAACTCTCCTGCAGTGACACTCACATGGTAGGACTTGTCACTTCTGTTGTTGCAGGCGTGTGCTCACCGTCTCCATTTCTGTGGACTTTCTCATCCTATCTCTACATCATTGTCACGATCATGAGAATTCTTTCTGCCACTGGAAGGAAAAAGGCCTTTTCCACTTGCTCCACACATCTTATTGTGGTAATACTTTTTACCAGTTCAATATTAACTGTCTATGTACTTCCTCATCACAATACCCAAATATCTCCAAACAAAGTCGTCTCTGGTTTTTTTACCATTCTAACCCTCTTGGTCAATCCTCTCATCTACAATTTGATAAACAAAGAAGTAAAGGAGGCTCTGTGAAAACAAGTAAATTTCTGGCTTTCAGAGGGTTAATTTCTGTTTTGTTTTTTTTAAAAAGCCTAATATTCCCTAATGAGTTACATGGCATGTGAATATAGTTAATTTTAATAAAGCTTGGGAGTACGTAACTGTGCATCTTAAAGAAAAATAAGCAGAGAGACAAGATAGGAAAATAATCCTGCTATCAGTTGGGGGTGGTATGGTGTCATGGTTTAACCCCAACTGGCAACTGAGCAACACACATCCCTGATAGGATGCGGGAGATAATCAAAGAGTAAAAGTGAGAAAACTTCTTGGTTGAGATAAAGTCACAGAATCACACAGAATCACAGAAT